TATATTACTTTATTTTTTTGTTTTTTAAAAGGGAATACTCCACTCAAAACATGATTCTGTTAAGGGAACATATCTTCGGAAAGAAAAACAAAAATCAGAATTAGGTGTAGGCCTACATGTAACTTACATTATGTGGCAGTCTACATGTAGACAACATAAATCATTATGTTTTAGGATGACTTGGTTTAGGATTAAGGTTAGGTTAAGGCAGGTAGTGGTTATGATAAGGGTAAGGGTAAGTCTCCAGGAAATTGATTGTTAGTCAAAAGTAATGTCCTCTAAAATTACCTGACTCTGTGTGAGTGTGTGTGTGTGTGTGTGTGTGTGTGTGTGTGTGTGTGTGTGTGTGTGAGAGAGAGAGAGAGAGAGAGATAGAGAAAACGTGAAGGGCTGCTTTTTGTCACAAATGTGAATTGCATGACATACAGGACTTTATTAGAAGGAATGCAGCTTCTGGCCAGGTCACTGAGAATGAGTGTACAGTGGAGGCCTTTCTGTTCAACACCCACATAACGAGATAACTGAAATATGAAGTTTTTAATACTGGGTCAGATGGAGCCCTGTGTGCTCTCCTGAGCCTCTCTCTGAGTACAGCGACAAGTCCCAGCACAACACAGACTCCAACATAAACTCCACGTAAGGATAAAAACAGCTGAAGCCTGTCAGGCCAAAGAGAATCAGATGATGTCGGTGAAAACAGTCAACATCAGAAAGGCTGGAGAAACACGGAGAGAGTCATGGTAGCTCGCCGGCTAACACAGAGCAGTTGCTAATGTTTTCCGGTGCAATAATATGTATGTTATGGCTTTCCACATGACTTCACCAGCTAACGCGATTCATATTACTATGCTGTATACTGCCGATATTATGTCAATTTGTGGATGGTACAAAGCAAATGTGGAGTGATTTGTTTATACTAGCCTTGATGTGATTCAGGAGCAGCCAGCTACTTTAGCACGGATCTACCACTGTTTGCTTCGTAACGTTCAATTTAGATTTAGGCACTGCAACTGACGTGACCCACATAATATACAATACTGCAACATAACGGTGCAGGATAACAATACAATATAAGAGTCATCCACTACAGCAAAGTTACTTACTGTGGTCTAACTGTTATAATGTGTGACAACAATCTCATTATAATATTCAGTCCAGTTCACTAACCACACATCCAATACATTTAGCTGAGCCTCAAAAGATGCACGAATAGTGTTGTTGAATTCAATAGTGTTGAATAATGTTACTTACTAAAAAGCAGCAGGCGAGCTAACGCCGATGTAGCGCGTCAGCTAAATGCAGTTTATCTTACATTTATTCATTTAGCTGATGCTTTTATCCAAAGCGACTTACAATTGCTATACAACGCCAGAGGTGCGCAACCTCTGGCAGGAATGAGTTACGTTACCGGCAGCTTGTGAGAAGTCCCGGTAGACCAAAGGGTAAAATGTAGAAGTGATGGTACTGCGCATCCTACCGGCGAGTACCGGCCCATTTAAAGCACTGCGTTTGCCATTGTTCAGGCACCATGTGCCACTGTTTACAAGGACCTGTTCTAAGGAGAAAGGTCAAAGCAATGCAAAAACGCACACAACGAATGCCGACTGTAGAAAGCAAAAGCCAAATCCCGGACACCCTATGTAACGGTGCAGTGGGAGTTTACTTGAGTTTCCAGCTCGTTGTGTGAAGCTGTCTCCCTGTCTGTCTATAGCCGCTGTCACACTGATCCAGTATTATGTAATAACAACCAGCTAGCAAAGCTGCTAGTAAACGAGCTAGCTGGACAACAACTAGACAACAGAAACCAATAATTCTGCAGCTGGATGACATTTCTTCTGCTGCAGCCCTTTAGTGTGCGATTAAAAAAAAAACAGCACAGTTCTCAAACACAGAAGGCTGCCTGGCTTGCTCTAATTGACAAAGTATAATGCACAAATTCCCCTCTTGATCTTTCTCTATTATGGTTCTATAAAGCCCCATGGAGCCACAACCAAATTCAAACCATGTAAAAACCACAGAAATATGTTGTCTATATGCAATCCACTACTCTGGCTAAATCTGTCCATTTTGACAATCTTTCCTGAGTATACAACCAGACCAGCCATATTTATGTATATTATATTAACTTTATATCTCTAAAGTGCTTCTTCATACAGCAGCCTAATGTCCCTATACATGAGTAAAATCTATTAACATCAGATTTGCTGGGAATATATTGAAGTAATAAGACTGACACACTAGATGAATAAAACACACTCTTATTAAAATTTAACACATTTAATAATAATCTGGATAAAGCCACCAAGTTCTTAAAAGAACTCCAGCACAGAGAGAGGAACAAAGAAATAACCACATAATATAAATGCAGCAGTTTGTCAGGTCTGGATGCAGAATGGGCCACATCAGGTCCGCATTCTGCAGACAGAGAGAAACAAACATGAGCACATCGCTCTCAAACACTGCAGGTTGTTCACCAGCCAAGAGCTGTCACCGCTCTGATGATAAATAAAAAGGAAAAGTTATGTTCTCTGGTGGACCTGGATCAGCTGTTAGCTGTAAACACATCACAGGGCTAACGTTAACGTTGCTATGTGGCTGTGTTTTAATGTTTTAATGAGCCGGTCCGTTTGTTTTGGAGAGGAGACGACCTCTGAGGTAATTCAACTCAGTAAAACCCTGTCAGGGCTCTGAAGTGGAGCAGACCCAGAACAACTCTCATCAGCTGTTAGCTGTAGACACTAGGAGGACTAAAGTTACGGTGCGGCTGTGTTTAAACTATAGCACAACATCTCTGCGCTGTATAACGTTATGCTTTATTAATGTTAAATGTCACATAATTAACAAAATAGATATATAATGTCAGTCCAGTGACTGTTACCTGACAACAGACTTGCCTCTCATTCCCCGGTGCTGGCAGTAACTCAGCCTGCCGAGTGAAGACAGACTCCGAGGAGGACCCATGTGAGCGCTGAACAATTAGTTCATTCCTGCTCCGCAGTAGCTGAGCTGTCACGCTACAAATGAACGACTCAAACCTAGAGACCCACAGCTGAGAGTCTTCTGTTTCCTGTACTGACGGAGCCCATGCAGAGTCCAGTCCAGTATTGGCACATGCGTGAAAATGAACAAATTACTCCCTCAGACTACTCGTTCCTCCTGAGTCATATACAAGATTAGGTCAAATGAACGAAACGTTCTTTGAACGACACAACACTAGGTCATCCCAGTAGCTTGTGCACCTTTTCCTACCACCCTTCAACCTTCAAGTCAACTTTCCATGAATATGCTGTGATACAGCACTATGTGAACAGCCAACACTTTCAGCAATGACCTTCTGTGGTACCCTCTTCCGGGCAACTGTCAAGTCAGAAGACTGAAAGATTAAAGATTAAATTCTAATATTTTGAGATTTATGATTTCAATGAGGTATAAGCCGTCATCAAGATTAAAACAAAAAAATGCCTGAAATATTTCACTTTATGTGTAATGAATGTAAAATATATGAAAGTTTTACTTTTTGAATTAAATTAAGGTGGAAAAACGGATATTCTAATTTTCTGAGATGCAACTGTAGCCCTGTTACTATTTCGTTGTTCTTAATTTTTAATTATTTGTGATTGGACCTGTAGTGTCATATGTTGAGGTTTTATTTGTCAGTTGTCACAGACACAAAGGTAATTTCCGAAATGATAATAAATTAAACTAACTAATTAACTCCTGACATCTTTGTTGTCGTCATGTGTCTCCTGCAGCTTGGGGAATTGATGCTGGTCCAACAACTCGTGCCATCACATGGTAAACTGATTAGGAGAGTGAGGTTAAAATAAAACACCACGGGATTTTATTAGACTGAGAGCAGAAAATGTCAGAATGAAAAAATAGAGAGAGATCAAGTGAGTGTGTTGGTATTGGTCTTGGTCTTGTGAAACCAGGATATCTTGGCCACATGACCCAAAGACAGGGTGTCCTCTTATAAAGAAGCAATGCTCTCTGATTGGCTCGAGCAAGAGGGATTGACCAAATGCTCTCTGTTGGTTCAATACAGCATCTGAACTGTGGAAATTAAGTGCTAATTTCACTTTAACAGTGGCAGGTGAGGAAATGAGTTAATCAATTTCCAATTTAATAACCTTCAGTCATTTCGTCAATGCAAACTTTGACAAAAAAAACATTAGTTGACAACCTTTTTTCACAATGAAAAGTAACCGTTGAAAAAGATCACACGCCTTGGCTCCTGATTAGTCAAACAGTTTTCTCCACTGCCCAAATCTCTTGTTTAAATGTTGATTAGGCTGCTTCACTTGTTTCACTAATGTTAACAAGAAGCATCTTGCATTCAGTATCATTCAGCAGTGTTATCTGACATTAACTGTTCTTGGAAAAAAAAGATTTTTAAATGGAATACTTCTACAATCCAATGAGAGTTAGACAAGAAGCAGCAGCAAAAAAGAAAACTTTGAAAACATGCAAGCTAATGGAACATGCCCAAGTCATTTTTGTGCATAAACCTAACCAGAACTTAACCACAGCCGCGGAAGATCAACAGATGGTTTTACTAATAGTTTTTTGTATTAATGAGAAATTATTTATTTTGTCATAGAGTTTGGAGAACATGTTGATTCTTATTCTCTATATGAGAATTGGGCTAAGTGTAGAGCATTTTGCTCAGAGCATATAATATACTGTATTTGACAACATTTTTTTCAATCCCTGTCCAGTGGAAACCAGCAATCCCTGGTCCACCTCAAAATGGTGGTCTGGGGTTTGTCCCATGCCAACTGTCAACAAAAGAACAGAATTGACAGAGTGCATGGAAATGTGGATTTTCACATTAAAGCACACCTGACCAGTCATAGCACAAGTGGCTTTCACTATTTGAGAAAGTTACAAAAATAGTAGGACAGGGCAGCACCCAAATCTTTGGTATATCTGTAATTATTGAATCATCTTCCAGCTCTGACTTTTCTACATCCTGTTTTTAATATCTCTTCATCTCTTAGTACATAAAGGACTTCTACAACAAGACGGTGGTGAGTCGTAATGGAACAGGACTCAGTGGGGAGACCTTGACCCTCATGTACTCCCTCACCGTGTCTGTTTTCGCTATTGGAGGTCTGCTGGGTTCCCTCATCGTGGGCATGCTGGTCACTCGCTTTGGCAGGTAAAACATTTGTTTTCACTGATTGTTTAGGAGAGAATTCTAGATTCTAGACCTGTTTGTTTTAACCATGACCACAATCATTCCCTAACTCTCAGGCAGTTTTAAAGACCTGATATACTCCAAAACAGAAACACATGCAGACAGCTGAGCCACACACAAACTGTGTTAATACTACCCTGGATGTAGGTACACGTGTTGACCTCCAGCTGGCGAGTACACTCTGTGAAGTTGTAGATTTTGGGCTGCAGAAGCTGGTTTGCATATCTGCATAGTATAATCTGAGCTTAAGTCACCTAAACTTAACCAAACCTTACCGCATGCTTACAGTCATCAAAAAGAATAAACTCTTTAAGATAACTCATGTAGCCAGCAAACCCCAACGTATGTGTCACCTCATCCTTAATCTGCAAAGCACTCGCAATCACACATGACCCACACCATCCACTCTTCCAGCTCTTTACCTTTGGACTGTAGACTACCGTTGCGCATGAAGGCTCATTTTAGTAAGAGATTCAAGCTTTTAATAAGTAACCTCCTCTGAATTTACTAGGAATCCAGTCTGTGGTGTGTAGAGTCAATCCATGTGTGTATCTGTTGTGTGAACCCTGTAATTAAGTGTCCCTGTAAATTCTGTATAATTCTATATGTATTACTTGTTTGTGCTGTGTATGCATCTACCTACCTACTGACCCATGTTGGCGTCCTCAGTGAATTATTGTGTGGGATATTTTTAAATATACATATCTATATAGTACAGTAACATCTTAAGTGAACTGTTTTTGTAAGGCAGTCACGATGTCGTGTAAGGGACTAACCTGTTCTCACTCTCAAGTCAACACAACTGGATGCATGGTCATGACCTCTTGGTGTTACTTCGTAATGCACTAGGAAGCTCCTTAGCGTTATAGTTCAGTGCGCTGGGGGAAGCCCTGTAGCATTCTATTTTGAACACTAAAGGTAGGTGTAAAATATACAACAGTAAATCTGAGTAAGGAGGTGGTTGTGGTGGACGGGTGGTGCCAGATTCACTTTCTGTAATAAAATATCTACCAATCTAAACCAATCAAACATACCAATCTATCTTTCACCCCTCAAGGACCTGTAGGCCTCCAGGACTCTGAGGCGACCCTTCGGACACAAACAGTTTCAGACATTGCCTCGTACCCCCACCCCTTTACACTGTCAATATTTTGCATATCACTGCACAAACATATTCTTTATGATTCCTTTATATTTTTTATATCTTGTCAGTTTCTTTACTTTATATTTATATAGGTCACCAAAGAAAATTCCTCGTGAACCTACTTGGCAATAAAACTGTTTCTAATTCTATAAACAACATTTCTATCAGATGGGGGACCCTGGGACAAAATCTTATCAAACGTAGGTTCCGTGGTCTAATATGCGTCAGTTTAGGGGTCCTTGATGTGAAAAGGTTTGAGAACCTCTGACGTAGGATACATAAGTTGGGTATGCAATTAAAGTTACTTAATTACGCAAGTTAAGTCACGTTAAGTATTGTTGTTGTTTTAAGCTGAACCATGATGTTGTCCTAAACTTAACCAAGCAGTTTTGTTGCCTAAACCTAACCAAATTGTGATGTTTCACAACGTTTTACAACTTTAGCGTTCCATTTTTCCAACATTTACTGGATGTTGCATATTTATTGTTGCTAACTTGACCTCAGAGTCCTACATGTCAAAAAACAACAATAGCATTGAAACTTAGAACAGAAAATACACAAGCACAGAAATTCATCATGATGAAAAACATTGAGATGCATACTAAAATAAATGACAACTGATTATATAACAACAACCTAGACTCACTACCACCTCCTCGCCCACAGTGGGGAATCAATTCCATTATATCAAACGTGTTTTTTCTGATGTTTTTTGTTGACTTTTAAAACTCTGGAGAGAAAACACTTAATGGAAGATCATTATAATGCCTCCTCAGACTGCTTTTGTGGAACAAGTAGAGGACGACATCGAGCAGGGAATCTTTGTCCTCAGCAGCCCTCAGTGCCCTCTGTGTTTGGACATTGGCCTGCTCTGTCCTGACACCTTACCCCCCCTGGACTGTCCAACCATGAGAGTGGATAGTGGTTAGTTGGCACTGCCAGCCGGAGAGACACTCAGCAGCATCTGGTGCTGCCACCAAGATCAACACCTGAGCACACACTGCTCACACACACTCACCCCAAGGATACTTTTACTTAATACTCTTTCTGAAAATGACATTGATAAACATAACCACGTTTCATATACTAAAGTGAAATAACTGGCATAACACAAGATTAGGAATAAGGCACTCCGAAACAGAAACACACACACTTAAACTGGCACAAAAGGTATTAGATCAGGGCCTTTTATCAATCATGCTCTGTCCTCTATATCCACAGCTGCTGATTACACCCCCACCCCCCACCGCCTTGTCGTCCTTTAGAGTTCACCAGCGTCATCTCGTCCCCTCTGCCCTTCAGAAGTGTTCTAGTTCTGAAAGTGCAGAGGAAAGTTATTTTATATGCAAATCAGCGGAAAGCTCCATTCATCTCCTCCATTTCATAGAACGTCAGTGAACAATTGACAATGCAAATGAAAAGCAGGCAATTTATAATCCCATTTACAGGCGGATCACTTCTTTCACACAGCAGTGCTTTACGGCTAATCACATCTTATGACAAACCTTGTGAGCTGTGTTAGCGTTTTATGGCTAATCAGGACTTATACAGGCATACATTCGTTTATCATTATGACTGTGTGTATATCAGCGGAGGGAGTTACTGCTACCGGCCATACTGCTGCTTTCCTTACTGTTTCATAAACTCTGGGTCATATGCTTTTATGTATATTCCTAATGTCTGCCTGCTACTTGTGTGTGTGTGTGTGTGTGTGTGTGTACTTACAGGAAAGGCACAGTGGTAAACACAACAGTGCTGGTGTTTATTGCTGGCTCGCTCATGGGCTTCAGCAGGATTTGTGGTTCACCTGAGATGGTCATCTTTGGCCGCTTCATCACAGGAATTCACTCAGGTACACACCCACATATTCACACACCTCTGCTTCCATTGCACACTGAGCTGTGCCCATTTACTTCTGTATGTAATGGGGCATGTACACTACATGGCCAAATGTATGCATACACCACTGTTCCCTTCTTTTGTTTGAAACTGCTTTGGCAACATTGTTTAAATGAAACATTCATGCTAATAAAGCACACTGAACTGAATTGAACTGAAGTGTCTACGTTCACAAAGCACCATACAGAAAAGATTTTTCCAGGTGTTGAAGAACTTGATTGGCCTGCACAGAGCCCCGATCTCAACCCCATCCAACACCTTTTGGATGACCTGGAATGCTGACTGTGAGCCAGACCTTATAACCCTACATCAGTGCTGGACCTCACTGATGCTCTGAGCGCTGAATGGGAGCAAATCCCTGCAGCCAGGTTCAACATCTGCTGGAGAGCTTAAAAACCAGAAGAGCGAAGGCTGTTCCAGCAGCACAGTAATACCCATGGCGTCGGGGATCACGGATTTGAAAACTTGTCGCCTTTTGGCAAATTTCATTATTTCTAATGAAAAATATGGCAACCTCGTGAACTGTGTGAATCTGAGGAGTCATCATGCACATAAACTCTGCAAAAAAGCAGGGATTTGATCACGTGATGCAGACAGTGTGTGCTGCTCTAAAAGGATAAAGTTTAACTGCCAGCCACCCTAAAGTGCAACGAAGAGAAACAGAAGTAGTCAAAGAGACATAGTTAAACAGTGACAACGAGCCCTTGATATTTTGCTACAGGCCAACAGAAGGCTGCAACCGATCATTTCCTTTGTCAGTTAATCTGTAGATTATTTTGGCGATGAATCAGTTAGTTTAAAAAATGTCAGATAATAGTGAATAGTGCCCTTTACAATTTCCCAAGCTAATGTCATGCATTCAAATGTTTTTTCCAACCAACAGTCCTAAACCCCAAGATATTTCATTAACAAGCTGCAAATCCTCACATCTAAGAAGAAGAAACCAGCAAATGTTTGGCATTTTTGCTGAATAGATGATGGAAACAATTAATTTTTTATCAACACTATTGGCAATTAATCTTCGGAAGATCAGCTAATTGACTAATCACTTCAGCACTTCAGCACATACAATGAACTGAATCAATTAATCTGTCTGCTCAGCAGGTTGGATGGTCGGTCTTGTGCTGTTAAGTACTTTTAACTTTTTCACAAGGTACCCAGAGCTTTAATTTAAAAACATACATCTTCTCCCTCTATTTTCAGCTCAGAGTGCTCAAGAAACCACATCTTAAAATGATTTCAGATTTGCAACCTTTCCCATCTCATTTGAGTTTGCAGGGCTGCTTCAAACTATCACATATTGGTATAACGTTCAAGCATCTACATGGTTTGTTCAGGTGTCCTCCTACTTGTGTTGATGTAGTGTATGTCTCATTTCTGCTTGTTCAGATACTCCATATATAGTACACAATAGTTAAATAAATCAGTGCATTATTGCTTAGCTCTTCCTCTCTGTTTTTGTTTTTACTGCAGGCATCTCTCTAAGTGTAGTACCAATGTACCTGGGTGAGATAGCACCTAAGAACCTGCGAGGCTTCCTGGGTCTCGTACCAAGTATCTTTATTGGCACCGGAGTCTTCACTGCTCAAATCCTCGGCTTACATGAGCTTCTAGGAAAGGTAGCCAACACTGCTTTCCAACAACAGCCAGTGTGACCATGTGGTTTTGGTATGGAGAAAAAGCCTGTCTCTACATAAGCTCATGAGTTCATTACTTCCAAAACTCTTTCTCTCAAAACATTATTTTCAACTTGTACATTTTATATTTTATATTTGTCATTTAAACACCAACTACTATAGTATTAATAGTGTGACAAAGCACATCTTGGATTTGGACCTTAGCCAGACCTGGGATGTCTTGAAGATTTCCATCATTAATAATTTGAATTTATTAAGAAGTTCTTCACATAGACAACCAATGCAGTATTTAACTGTACAATAAATAAAAAAAGAACCAAAATTACCATCATATAACTTTTGTATCAGTGATTGGCAGATAGATTTTTTAAATATAATATTGAGATATTGTGGTCATTAAATTTTTAAAGGTTCAGTGTGTAAGATTTAGTGTCATCTAGTGGTGAGGGTTGTGAATTGCAACCATCTATCCAGTCTACCACTGCCCCCTAACCTTTCAAAGAGCGTAGGACAGCTACGGTAGCTGACACAGCACAAAAGGTGTCTCTTCTGAGGCAGCAGAGAGTTGCCAGTCAAGAAATGAGGGTTCTTTAGGTATGTTTATTAAGAAATTATATTTACTTAATTATTCAGTAAAACCATATGTTATTGTGACTTGGCCACTGACAGATAACATGGAAAATGTGAGCCAAGAATGTGAAACACTGTCACTGTTTCTGCACCACAGTCCATTATAAACCACATTAGATAAAGTTTATACAAACATTGACAAGGGAAACACATTAATTCTCTCTGTGATTATGGACCCTTGTCAAAACTGCCCGCCCACAATAATATCTGCCCCGCGGCCAGATTATGGTGCTTTTGTCACGGTTCAAAGCAGGTGAGAGCCCAAATGCAAGACACTGAGAGCGGAGATGCAGTTCAGGGAATTTAATCACGACAGAAGCAAAATAACAAGGCTACAGGTAGTTGATTAATCCACAATCCAACAGACCAAGACAGCAGAGAAACAGGCAGGACGCTCCACACATGACACGACAGAGTGTACACACGCTACAATGACCGAACAAGGACTGAAGACACAAGCAAGCATATATACACAGGGACTGACGAGCAGGGCGGGGGCAACACAGGTGACTGCGATCAGACTAACAAGACACAGGCAGGCAGAGAGACAGCAGGGGAAAACAGAGAGACAGGCAGAGAGACAGCAGGGGAAAACAGAGAGACAGACAGGCAGAGAGACAGCAGGGGAAAACAGAGAGGCAGGCAGAGAGACAGCAGGGGAAACAGAGAGACAGGCAGGCAGAGAGACAGCAGGGGGGAACAGAGAGACAGGCAGGCAGAGAGACAGCAGGGGGGAACAGAGAGACAGGCAGGCAGAGAGACAGCAGGGGAGAACAGAGAGACAGGCAGGCAGAGAGACAGCAGGGGGGAACAGAGAGACAGGCAGAGAGACAGCAGGGGAAACAGAGAGACAGGCAGGCAGAGAGACAGCAGGGGGAACAGAGAGACAGGCAGAGAGACAGCAGGGGAAACAGAGAGACAGGCAGGCAGAGAGACAGCAGGGGAAACAGAGAGACAGGCAGAGAGACAGCAGGGGAAACAGAGAGACAGGCAGGCAGAGAGACAGCAGGGGGGAACAGAGAGACAGGCAGAGAGACAGCAGGGGAAACAGAGAGACAGGCAGGCAGAGAGACAGCAGGGGGGAACAGAGAGACAGGCAGAGAGACAGCAGGGGAAACAGAGAGACAGGCAGGCAGAGAGACAGCAGGGGAAACAGAGAGACAGGCAGAGAGACAGCAGGGGAAAACAGAGAGGCAGGCAGAGAGACAGCAGGGGAAAACAGAGAGACAGCAGGGGAAAACAGAGAGACAGCAGGGGAAAATAGAGAGACAGGCAGGCAGAGAGACAGCAGGGGAAACAGAGAGACAGCAGGGGAAAATAGAGAGACAGGCAGGCAGAGAGACAGCAGGGGAAAGCAGAGAGACAGGCAGAGAGACAGCAGGGGAAAATAGAGTGACAGGCAGGCAGAGAGACATCAGGGGAAAACAGAGAGACAGGCAGAGAGACAGCAGGGGAAAATAGAGAGACAGGCAGAGAGACAGCAAGCAGAAGGATTACTGGGAGAACAGACATAACATAGGTTACTGGACAGTAAACACAGACATGGACCCTGGCACTTATTTAGAATAGTAATAGAATAAACTTTAATTGTCATTGTACAGTAAAACCATACAATGCAATTTGTTTGTGCAGCCTCTAAAACAATACTCACATTTATAAGCACACTCATACAATAAAAAAATAAAATAAAATAAAATCCCTATCTAAAAAATACGGCTGTGCTGACGGGGGGGTAAAGGGGCATGATTATTCAGTTCTGTGATAGCCCTGGGGAAACTGTTCTGTAACCTGGAGGTGCGTGCTCCCAGAGCCTGACACCGCCTGCCAGATGGAAGCAGGGAGAAGAGATGGTTTGAGGGGTGCGTCTCATCCTGCAGAATATTATGCGCTCGGCGTAGGCAGCGGATCTTAAAGATGTCGTCCAGTGGATGCAATGGAAGTCCGATGATTTTTGAGGCAGATCTTATAATTCAATTGAGGGATTTCCTGTCCTTCTTTGTGCAGTTGGCATACCATGCAGTCATACAGTATGTTAGAACACTCTCGATGGAACATTGATAGAAGATCTTAAGCAGCTCAGCAGACAGGTTGCTCCTTTTGAGTATTCCTAAAAAGTAGAGCCACTGTTGCGCCTTTTTGACCATGGAGATTGTATTTATCTCCCATTTTAGGTCATAATCCCCAAGAATTTAAAACAGGAGACCTTTTCCACTTCCTCGCCATTCATGATGAGGGGTTGAGGGTCCTCCTTACACCTTCTGAAGTCAACTATGATCTCCTGTGTTTTCTTGACATTCAAGGTCAGATTGTTGTCTTTGCACCATCCCGTCAGTCTGTCAACTTCATCTCTGTAGGCGTTCTCATCGTTCGAGATTTCTCCCACCACAGTTGTGTCATCTGCAAATTTTATCATTGTATTCAAGGGATGGGTAGAAATGCAGTCATACGTGTAGATAGAATAGAGCAACGGGCTCAACACGCAGTCTTGCGGTGCTCCAGTGCTGAGGGACAGGCTCGAGGATAGATGTGGGCCCATTCTCACTGTCTGTGGGCGATCTGTCAGGAAATCCTTAATCCACATGCACAGGCTGCTGCTGAGACCCAAGTCAAGAAGTTTGGTGACCAGTTGGTTAGGAATGATGGTGTTAAACGCTGAGCTATAGTCTCTGAAGAGAAGTTCCAGGAAAAACGCTTAAAATAACGGACCCAAAATAAATCAGTAATATCTCCTCAACCATTTGGCCTAGATGCATAATTCTTGTCTCCTTTAAAAGTTCAGAAGCTAAGCTTTTTAGGATTTAAAATCCATTGTACATTAACATAATTATTTAACATTACAGACTACATGTAGATGAAATACAGAAAAAAAATATTTTCATCCTCGCCTAGTAAAAAAAGCTATATTTTAATGCAATAAACCATCGAAACCTTCATAAGGTAGATTATAATGCACCTGAATATCTTCTAATACACCTGGAATACAACTGTAACTGTAAATTTGATGAAAAGAAACAGTTATTAGACAATCTTTCAAAAGTATACCAGACGAATGTCCATGATTTGGGCATATTTACTGTTTATACGTATGTTCACTGTTATTGGTAGTTATCTTCAAAACATTATTTCTCTCCATACAACCACGTTCCAAATAACATAAAGCTTCCAAAACACTGAAATATTGATAAAAACAGTCAATATATGACCAAAAGCACTCCCATGCAAGTGGGCTCTTTCTCTTCATATTGATATCCTGGGTGTCTGTGTAGCTCCTACAGGTCGCCAGCAGAGGCCGAGAAAGTCTGCCTTCGCCAAAGCAAACTCTTGGTCTCTACTTCAATCTGACCACAGAAAGGAAACTTATCAAGCCGACCTTACCAAGATGGCGGCCCACCAGACAGTCTCTGTTGACACAAAGGATAGCGAACATCGATTACGTCCCCTATATCGGGTCAGTCCGTTACCAACAGAACTAAAATGCAGAACTAAACCCATGATACATGAAAGGAAACACAGAATAAAACACCAACAATACAGATAGGCTACAAACAAACCCAGAGACAACAGACAGAGACTAACAGGTCACAAAAAGGCCAAGAATCAAACAACAAAAACACAGAGGCCAACTACAACAGTACAAACAGGCAAACCAAATAATAAGCTTAATGAGGACAGAATAGACTAAAGCAGAATGATCAAAATCACATTAATTACGATGGTACAAAGGGGTGGCAGTAGCGCAATGGATAAGACACATGCTTTCGTGTGAGTGACCCATCCACCATTGTGTCCCTGAGCAAGACACTTAACCCCTAGATAAAAGCGTCAGCTAAATGACTGAATGTAATGTAATGTACAGAGACTAATACATCAGACAGGAACAGAACTCAACAACAACTAAGGCAGGCACCGAAATATCAGCAGGACAGATCAGACCAGAAAAACCACACAGAAACACATAGACCAGCTCCACAAAACACAAACAGACAGGACAAAATCTAAATGCAAACACACACCAAGAAGACTGGATAGAGACAACAGACAGAAGTGAAACATAACAGATACTGAACTGACCAAATAGCAAAAAACTCACAGAGAGCTAAACTAAGATAAGAAAACCTTTATTTGTCCCACAGTGGGGAAATTGCGGAAAAAACTAAACAAGGCCGCATTGATAGCGGTAAAAAATAAATAAATAAATACTTTGATAGCGGTGCTATCAGTCATGACAGCAACAGTTACTCACATAATAGATGCTGCTCACATGCTTGCTTGACATACCTCTGAAAGAGCCGTCAGAGAACGTGATCCCCCTCATTGTGCTCTGCCTGGAGATACTGGGGAAATGCAAAAGCGTCCGTAGGTTGATGGATGCGGAACAAACATTGAAAAAAAAAACAGTGCAGAACATTCCGTGATCGGAGAAACATCCGCTTCAGAATCCATTTATTGAAGAGAGAGAAAAAAAAAGTTGTCCCAAGGTGGGATCAAACACTCAAACCTTGGGTTGCAAGCCCTGCGCCATGCCAACTAAGCTAACTGAACAACATGTTGATACAAGTCAATATTAGTTCTTATATTCTCATCCACCATTTAATGCTTAAAAAAAAATATTGCTCCCATGCAAAACTTACTGCCGACCCCTGCTGTATATTATTACTTCTTCTTCTTCTTCTAATGTACATATTCAACATAGTGATGAGTGTCTTATTTATGATATAAATGTCTCATTCTAAGTTAATAAAAACACAATGGTTCATTATATAAGGTCTTTATAGATCACTGAAAACATAGTTATGGATCTCATATTGCATTTCTGTCTATAGATCCTCAGAATTATTACACACTGAACCTTTACGGCTCACAGTGACCTGATGAGAGTGTCGTTCTCAGCTTGTGTGTAAGTATAACTGGGTTGTGACTGTTCCAGGAGGAGCACTGGCCTCTCTTTCTGTCAGTGGTGGTGGGACCCACCTTCATTCAGTTGATGCTGTTGCCATGGTTCCCAGAGAGCCCAAGGTACCTGCTGATTGAGAAGCGCAATGTCCACGCCACCATCACAGGTCAGTGTTAAAGCATGATGACTGGTGTCTGAATGACATGACCACCCATTAGCAGGGGGAAAATGATACACGCACACTACTGTTACCTTGGTCAGCTAGCAAGTGTTGAAGGAGACCTATTATGCATTTCCATATTTTATGCCTTATCTACAATGTTACAATGTTGGATGTTCATGTTAAACATGGCCAAAGCTTCAAATAATGAGGTAAAAGTGTTTAAAAGAAATCCCTGTGAGCCAAAACCTCAGATTCTGTTCTGAACGCTCTGTTTTGAGCTGCTTATTCTACGAAAGGCTCCGTTCTACGACACACGGAGCCAGACGGAGCTGGTGTTCCATGTATGGTCATTTGCTCCGCACAGCAACGGACCATATATGCTCAGTCTGTCTGTACCGCTCAGCGACAACAACAGGTAACATGCTTCAGGTCTTGGCCAATCAGAAGACAGTGGGCTTAAAGAGACAGGAGCATCTACAGCTTGTTTCAGACAGAGGCTGAAATGAAGGCCTACATGAAGAGCCAGAAAATGATTTTTTTGAACTTTTAATCATGCAAAACTGCCATAAAGGAATCACAGAAGGACAATATAGTACTGGAAATGCAGTTTAATAGGTCTCCTTTAAGTCACAAAAAGTTCCTCAAATGTTGCTGTAATGACCTATGTTTCAGATGTGATGTTGTATGATGAGCTGTAACCATGCTGCTTCCCGTCCCCTGTCTCTCAGCCCTGAAGTGGTACCGAGCCAAGTGTAACATCCAGGCTGAGATTGAAGAGATGCAGGAGGAGCAGCGCTCCCTGTTGTCAGTAGAGACGCTATCAGTATGGAAGCTGTTGGTGGATGACACCGTCCGCTGGCAGGTGCTGAGTGTGGTGGTCATCAACATCGGCATGCAGCTGTCTGGCATCGATGCTGTAAGGAAACTGAGTAATGTATACGCAGAAGAAAAGGGGGTTGGCATGTCTTTTTTGATACTATCACTTGAATTTAGTTGTAAGTCCAGAATTTCCTCATTTTCACCATAGTTTAAGCTGCTTCCCCAAGTGGGAAATGTGTCCAAGCATACATCAAGCATGAGCATTACACATCGAGCAGTGTCTCAGTTCGGCACGGCTGAAACAAATAAAATACAGAAGATTAGCAAATGCATGCTATATGGAATACTATGAAGTGAAAATGACATTAAAGCTGCATTAACTGATTTTTGATCACATGAGGCAGTGGAACATGGTGAGAGAACACAGCACCTTTCACTCCTACTAGCGCAACACAAATGCTGCTGATGCCAGATTAATTGATTCATGAAATTATTGTCAGAAAAATTAACATTTAATTCCCTGTTCACTTTTTAAACGTAATTTGATATTTGGGGGCTTGGGGGAGTTCAAGTGTAGTCACCAGTCATTGGTGTCAAGTTGCATATCTGTTTGATTTTGTCATGCCAAGTCACTAGATTCATGACTTAGGTCAAACTCGACTCTAACACAACTATTAATGTTACATTTTGTCACCTGTAGTTACACTGGCATTTCCCTAAAAGGGGCTCAACATACTAAAATTGTATCAAGTTCTGTTATTGTCCAGAGGGCATTCCAAGGTTTAGCAGGTGTTTGCTTAAAATGGTATCAACAAACAGATTCCGTCTCTATTTCCTCTATTTGTGCTTGCTTACCATCAGCTGTTGGCTGCCAAATGGTGTCTGGTAAATGGAGTCTTTAGGCTACAGTGAGGAGCAGCACAGACTGGCACATCAGAAGGTTTTTTTCAGCACTGGCTCATTTCAGCTTGAGCTTTTTGTAATTGCAAATCGTTGTCCGTTTGCTTTTTCACTCTTTGTCCAGCTCGACCTCGCCGCCTGTTTCTACAGCTCCCTCATCTGATTGATCTAGCTTATTAGACAAAAACACTGGGATGCAAATATGCCTAAATGATCCCTCATTGTTTTATAAGGCTCGCGTGGTCCTGTGAATAAAGCCAAAAGCTGGTGTCATCATTTTTCTGCCGATACGATTAGCTAAATTCTCCCTCTGAATTATGCCCTGGAGATTCATTAATTATTCAAATGATCACCGGGGCGCCCGGGCCAGAAAGTGCACACTATAAGCACTGGAGCTGAACTCATTAGCACGCCTTTCTCCAGGCTGTATTTTTAGCTGCTAATTAGCTGTGCCTAAACAAAGTGGAGCACTGCTGAAACATGCACATACTGAGAGCCGCACTGAGGATGAGGAGGAATATGGTGATATAGCTGGTGGTGGTGGTGATGATCAAGATGACAAAACTAGAATGAGAAGGATAATCAATTAAAATGAAAATGAATCAATCAGTATAATCAACAATGATGATGACAGTGATGAGGATGAAGGGCATGTTGTGACCATAATAATAAAGATGACAGTGATAACAGATGAAGACTTTATTGGTGATGATGATGATGACAGAAGGAAGACAGCATAACTTGAGAGAATGAGCATGGTCATGCACGTGAGTATTAATAATTATAATAATATAATGATGATCACGATGACGAGGAGGGTGCTTTTGTGAGCGTGATGACGAAGATAGCTGTGATGATCAGAAATGGTGATAACAGAGGCGATTATTGTGCTTGCCACAACAATAATGAAGATGGCAGTGTTTGAGGTGATGGCGGTTTCGTTTGATGGTGAGATGACATGACCACAATCATTCCTGATAATGGTAATGATGATGGTCAAGATAATAATAATGGTAAGAGTGACGACAATGATGAAGGTAATGATGACAAACAATAATTGTGATTATGATGATGATGTTTTTGAGTACACTGATTTGATGATGATGATGATAGTAATGGCGACTGCGGTGTGGCAAATGCTGGAGGTGATATTTAAGTGCATGTGACAGTTGGCAAGCCTTGGCACAGTTCTTGGCACACCACAGGACTGCGTGTGTGTGTGTGTGTGTGTGTGTGTGTGTGTGTGCGTGCGTGTGTGTGTGTGTGTGTGTGTGTGTGTGTGTGTGTGTTAATGCCAGCCATGTGGGTTTGTTTGCTTATATACCTGGTCCTCTAACTGTCACCGTCTGCTGTCTCCAGTTAATACACCTGCTCTCCCTAAAGCCTCAAATTGAATCAAATTGAATGTGAGCAAATGTCTTGTGTCTCTTTGTGGCAATGCCGTACCACCTGTGCAGCTCACAAGTACCGAATGTCTGCTTCCCCATTTAGATTTTTACATCGTTGTTTTTTCTTCTTGTGGCATATGTCAGCCAAACTGTTCACATGTGACTGGCTAGCTACTGTGGGTAACTCTAGCTGTGTAGCATGCAGTGTGTCTCAATTCCATACATACTAATCTTGATAGTATGCTGTTGTAGCAGAAAATGAAAAAAGGCTAGCACCAATAGTCATCTGTGACTTTGTGACACTGCTGCAAAATTCACATTTGAAGTAGCATTTAAGTTGACTTTATTGGTTGGGCTTTTCAGTGACACCCACTAGAGCAGCATGATGTCATCACTGAAGGCAGCAGCAGTTTGGAGGAAGTTCAAGTCCCTGCATGCAGGATTTGAACATTTTTGAATTTGGTGACTCCTAGTGGTTAGGGAGTCTGGGACACTAAGATGGATTACCTGAAGGCAACAAGGAATTCAGATTTTTAAAGTAGTATTCATTGATTATTTTAGCCATGCAGTAATATCCATTTGGAGACAGATTTGCGTATAACATTATTGAATACACTCACACCACCACTATATTTTCCACTCTCACTTCTGTAGGCCTTTTGTTATGACATCATAAGTTCTGAACAAAATCTACAGCAGGGTGACACTGCTCAAAATGTTATCACCATAACACTTCCTACATCATTTGATTCCATAATCTGATTATTATTATTTTGTTATCATTTTATATAAGTGTTCATTAAACAGAACTTCCTTGTCTGGTGGACAGTGATTAAAGCTGCGACAGAATAGTTTAGGATTTGAGCATGTCCTATATCAGCACCCTAGTTTAAAATGACATGGGTGGCAGATAGCTGGTTTAATCAGACTGATGTATTAAAGAAAGATGCAGAGTTCTAAATTGGTGTGGGCGCATGGCGCTGAACACAGCTCTGAAGTGGACAACTGGGATCTTCCTTTCAGAATAAAGGTTAAAAGGGATTCTTACCAGCTCTGTCATTCACAATGGTTAGTTGTCTAGTCCTTTACTCTCTTTACATTCTTTATTAATACATTCTTTGTCACCCAGTTATGACTTGATAGAGACAAACAAAGTACCGGTTAAGAACACAGAGTTTGCTTTTATATCAACAAGTGCTACTGCTCCAAAGCCCCCAGTATCTGTCCATCAGGAAACTGTAAATCACAGTGTTGAGGCAGAGCAGCCAGAAGACATCAGACGGAAAACCAGAAAATATTTACCTTTCCTTCATAACCGTAAAAGCACTTTCTGTGAGACACACTGAACAAGCTTCTCTAGCTTGATGGGATGACCGCTTGGTGTTGTGTTGGAACAAAAGGTTGGACGGTGGGGGCATGGCTGAGAGTGATGTATACAGTACGTGTTCAGTGGGCAGGGCCATCTACTTTGCTGAAGGGCTGGAGCTGAGGCAATTCTAGGATCAGACCTTTAAGGGTGCTCAGCCCCTAATGAGAATGTAGTGTGGCGTCCGAACAATAATGCTGCGATGATGTGTTGAGAAGAAATCCGCTTGACACTGTTCTTGATCATAAAAGTTTATTACATCAAGGAGTTCAGCATCAATTACAAGCTCTGCAGCAGCTTGGAGAGAGACCCAGCCCGATGGCCACTCTGTCTCTCTGTACATCAAACACAGCTTATATAGGACATGTTTAGGTATCTGTTAGACACCATAGAAGGGTTCAATCCCTACATAAACACTGACCTCTGCTCTCCCCTTAAAAGGTCACTAATCCTCTATCCAGCTGCTACAGTGTTATTTATTATTTTATTTTTTATTTTTATTTTTTGTTATGAGTCAAATGCACATATATTATACACCACAGTAGCATGCATACAATGCTTTGCAAAAGTGTTCACTAATTGGTGGAGAGAATAAGTAGGCCTGCTAGAGAGGAGCTGGTGCAGAACAGAGCAGGTCAGTCAAGGGTGTCACTTTGTGTTGAAAAGTGGGGACAGATTAGAGGGGTGATGATACATTTGGGTCATGAGACGTGACGATGCACGAGAACAAGACAAGAAGATTTTTAGCACTATTTAGATTCAATATTTGATGCAGAAATATATGTGTGGGGGTCTGCCTCCCCCATAAGATTTTGAGCATTAAACTCGTAATTTCCTGTTTTCTGGAGACATTTTCTGCTCCAATTTATGGTGGAAATGTCTGTTTTTATATAAAACTATATTGCAGTGCATATTTTCTTATTGTGCAAATCAACCTTTCTCAAAGCATTTTCATTTGTTAGGTAACATTTCTTGGTGCAAGCTATTTTTCAGAACGTTTTTAACAAATGCTTTCAAAAAGTGATGGAGACAAAATCAGCCATTTGAAAATGTGGTGGACATGTCCCCAGCGTCCCCAGTGTAAATGACCCCTACGGGATCAGTGGACCACTCAGGGTCAGACAGCAGTGTGGAGCTGTGTGCTGGTGTTCACTCCCTCAGAGGAGGGAGGCTGTTAAAGTGTTTCCCTAATAAGTTAAATCTTGTTACAGGCTTGCTTTCGCTTTTAAGGAAGTAGTTTGCTGTTGCTGATTGAGTTTCATTTGTTAGTTTTTTCATTGTTAAAAATCTTTATGGTTATTTTTAATCTTTATGGACACACAAACTGACAGCAGCTGACCGGTCCGCCAGCGCGGTCGTGGATCATTCAATAAAACATTAGAAACTGAAAAATGCCAGTATTTAGGACATTAAATTAGGAAATTAATGTAAGAAAAGCCTGAAACTGTAGGCTAATTGGTTGTCCCTTCTTTTACTTCTCCAAAATCTAACGTTAGAGGACAAAAAAAATTATTTTCAGAAAATAATAATAAATGGTTGTATTATTTTTTAGATGAAATGGTCTAAAATCGGTCCTGTGCTGGAGGATGTCCTCTGCTAAACACATCCATTCATGATGTCAAGAAGGGTCCCAAATTCAAACAGCTTGTTTGCTCACATTTACTGAAAGACTGAGCTGGAGAAAAAGAGAGTCTGGGGGTCTTTATACACAAACCGGGGGCACGGGTGTGTTGAAAAGTGAATTTTGCTTAATATGGGACCTTTAAGGTTTTTAAATTATTTATTACTTCTAGTTATTTGACCATTTGACTGTACCTTTTGCTACATGATCAATACTGTCATGTATTGTCGCTGATGTCGACTGTACTTCCACGTGGTCCCTGTTTTTCTACCATGTATTGTCTTAATATGTCCTGTTTATATGTGTCCACAGTAGCTACAGAGTGAGGTACTGATCTTCAACTTGTCATGACATGAAAATATGGCAGACCAAGAAAGGTCTTGGCCTGGGCTGAAAAAGATGGATTTCACCTTACTGAAATTTTTTCCACCACAGATCTGGTTCTATACCAATGACATCTTTGAGAATGCAGGTATCCCAGCACCAGAAATCCAGTATACCACAGCAGGAACAGGAATTATAGAGATCATCGCTGGACTTATTGGGGTAATCTTACAAATTAGAGAGGCGCACTTATACTGTTGCTAGTGATATATTTTTGTTGGTGTTGTGTCCAGAATGTATTTTATAATTTATTGATTTGATATAAAATAAGGTAAGAAGACAGTCTCATGTCTGTGTTACAGAGCTGGAGTCAGGATGTGGTTAGACTAGCTTAGCATAAAGAATAGAAACAGGTGGAAATAGCTACCCTTGCTCTGCCCAAGTTCAAATATACACCTACCAAGACCCATAATGCTCACTTGTGAAGCTCACTCATCTGTTTAATGCACAACCAAAAACGTTTGTGGAGTAATGTGCTGGAACTATTTTCTTGGTAAGCAGTCAGGCACAGTGACTGTGCTGAGCGTCCCGAGGCCAGATGCTTAAAACTCTGCTTAGATTCAGCACTAAAACTCTTTTACATGCACATGGTTGTGTTTTATAAACATCAGTTATTGTGGAACTGAGCCTCAAGTCTAACCCCGCAGTTGGCCAGAAATGGATGTGGAAACATCCTTAATCACCCATTTGTATATTGATACTTTTGCGTGCTCCACCACTCATTAGACCTGGAGCCATGCTCTGCAGTGATATTTTAATCACCATTATTAAATGTCAGAAAAGTAATCAAGATTTTACCATCATCGGCCGGATTTCAAACAACGATGAGACTTCATATCGGGAGGAAATTGATAATCTTGGAGTGTGGTGCTCAGAGGACAACCTACTGCTCAACGTCAGCAAACCTAAGGAGCTGATCGTTGATTTTAGGAAGAAGGAGATAAAGACACACACTCCTGTCTACAGTGGTGCTGAGGTGGAGCAGGTGAACAGGTTTAGGTTCCTGGGAATCAGCATCACAGAGAACCTGACATGGTCGTCTCACATCTCCACGCTGGTGAAGAAAGTTTAGAAACAACTGTATTTCTTGAGGAAGCTTAAGAAGGCCAAATTCCCACGCCAAGTTCTTGTCAGCGTTTACAGAGGAGCAACAGAAAGCATCCTGACGGAACATCACTAACATGGGATGTGCACGACCCAGGACCAGAGGCTCTGCAGGGGGGGGATTCAAACTGCTCAGAAGATCATTGGTACCCATCTCCTGAGCATCAGTGATGTCGGTGAGGTGAGGTGCCTGCAGAGCCCAAAGGATACTAAAGGACAGTACCCACCCAGCCACAGCCTGTTCACCCTGCTGCCTTCTGGGAAGAGATATAGAAGTTTCTGCTGCCGCACCACCAGACTGCAGAGCAGCTTTTCCCCCAAGCTATCAGACTCTTAAACTCTCGTTCATCCTCAGCACTGCTCCACTGATTATACTCTGCTCAAAAAAATAAAGGGAACACTTAAACAACACAATGTAACTCCAAGTCAATCACACTCCTGTGAAATCAAACTGTCCACGTAGGAAGCAACACTGATTGACAATCAGTTTCACATGCTGTTGTGCAAATGGAATAGACAACAGGTGGAAATTATAGACAATTAGCAAGACACCCCCAATAAAGGAGTGGCTCTGCAGGTGGTGACCACAGACCACTTCTCAGTTCCTATGCTTCCTGGCTGATGTTTTGGTCACTTTTGAATGCTGGCGGTGCTTCACTCTAGTGGTAGCATGAGACGGAGTCTACAACCCACACAAGTGGCTCAGGTAGTGCAGCTCATCCAGGATGGCACATCAATGCGAGCTGTGGCAAGAAGGTTTGCTGTGTCTGTCAGCGTAGTGTCCAGAGCAAGGAGGCGCTACCAGGAGACAGGCCAGTACATCAGGAGACGTGGAGGAGGCCGTAGGAGGGCAACAACCCAGCAGCAGGACCGCTACCTCCGCCTTTGTGCAAGGAGGAGCAGGAGGAGCACTGCCAGAGCCCTGCAAAATGACCTCCAGCAGGCCACAAATGTGCATGTGTCTGCTCAAACGGTCAGAAACAGACTCCATGAGGGTGGTATGAGGGCCCGACGTCCACAGGTGGGGGTTGTGCTTACAGCCCAACACCGTGCAGGACGTTCGGCATTTGCCAGAGAACACCAAGATTGGCAAATTCGCCACTGGCGCCCTGTGCTCTTCACAGATGAAAGCAGGTTCACACTGAGCACATGTGACAGACGTGACAGAGTCTGGAGACGCCGTGGAGAACGTTCTGCTGCCTGCAACATCCTCCAGCATGACCGGTTTGGCGGTGGGTCAGTAATGGTGTGGGGTGGCATTTCTTCGGGGGGGGGCCGCACAGCCCTCCATGTGCTCACCAGAGGTAGCCTGACTGTCATTAGGTACCGAGATGAGATCCTCAGACCCCTTGTGAGACCATATGCTGGTGCGGTTGGCCCTGGGTTCCTCCTAATGCAACACAATGCTAGACCTCATGTGGCTGGAGTGTGTCAGCAGTTCCTGCAAGAGGAAGGCATTGATGCTATGGACTGGCCCGCCCGTTCCCCAGACCTGAATCCAATTGAGCACATCTGGGACATCATGTCTCGCTCCATCCACCAACGCCACGTTGCACCACAGACTGTCCAGGAGTTGGCGGATGCTTTAGTCCAGGTCTGGGAGGAGATTCCTCAGGAGACCATCCACCACCTCATCAGGAGCCCAGGCGTTGTAGGGAGGTCATACAGGCACGTGGAGGCCACACACACTACTGAGCCTCATTTTGACTTGTTTTAAGGACATTACATCACAGTTGGATCGGCCTGTAGTGTGGTTTTCCACTTTGATTTTGTTTCATTGTATAACTTACAATAAACAATACCTACCTAAAGTGCTTCTTAATAAAGGATAAAAGAAAGATAAATTGATCAAGCAGAAGAAATTAATCAAAATTCTCATCTCTCACCTTATTGTTAATTTCCATCAATCTCACCATGATGGTCTGAAGTATACGTGAGCTGCACACTATCTCACTACACATTCTGTTTGTAGTGAGAGTGCCAGGTTAAGTACTGTTGTGGCTAACCCTACTCTGTCTGTGGAGGGATACAATGCTCTTCGTCAAGACATAGTTCCAGCACATATCTTCCCCCCAAAACCACAAACTGTGGTTTTAACATTTGTTTTTGTTAAACAAACAAAATACATGTTAATCAGTGATTTAGCGGTCTTGGTAGGTGTATATTTGAAATTTGGACAGATCCAGGCTAGGTGTGTCCCCCTGCATCCAGTCTTTATGCTAAGCTAGGCTAACTACATCCTGTGTCCAGCTCTGTACGTCAGCACTGTACTTAACACACAGATATGAGATTGATGTCCATCTTCTTATCTCACTCTCTGAAAGAAAGCAAATAAGTGTGTTTCCCAAATGTTGAGTTATTTCTGAAGATACATTAAAGTTCACGGAGGTGTATGTTCTGTAGTGTATAGTCATTTAACAGTGTCTGACGTGATCTCTGTGTCTCCTCCTGTAGTGTTTCTCCATAGAGAAGCTGGGCAGGAGGCCTCTCATGATTGGGGGTTTTGCCATGATGGGCATCTGCAGTGCTGGAATCACACTGGCCCTCATTATGCAGGTGTGTGTGGGTTTCCCTAAAGGTTTTGTGACTTTCCAGTACAGGAGGATGTGGGTGAAAGGCAAAACACGCTGGTTATCCCTTTTCTGTTGTTTTTGGATAAATAGGGCTCAGCGTTAAAGTCAGCAACAAAGAATATGCAATATCCGGTAAAGTCAGCAATATAATTGTGAAATAGTATCTGGTTAATGTTGTGAAACGTTGACATTTTTTAGGTTTAGGCAAGAAAACTACTTGGTTAGGTTTAGGATAGTTAGGGTTAAGAACTTATGTAAGTTAAGTAACATAACTAACGTAGCTTGCATAACCTTCGTAACTTCACTAAAAACCAATCAATGTTGATCTTTTGTTTCACACTGTAAACAAACACTGGTCTCCTGGGCGAGTCCGGTTTCTGACCCACCTGTCCACCCCAACCACCTCCTTACTCTGATTTTTGTGTTATTTATATCCTACACCTACACTCTTACAAACTGACGCCAATGGGTCTTAACCATGCGTCCATACTGTATGTAAAGACTTGGCAGTGAGAACGGGTTGATCTATTACCCACACAGGTTCCTGCATCTTATTTCATCTTCTCACTTGTGCCTACAGCAACAACACCCACACCAACAAAACCCTTTGTGCCAGCATAGTGCTGTGTTCTGTCTGAACACAACAAACACACATGCAACTTTACAGGCAATGTAGGGTGTCTAATGCTCCTAATCTGCATGTTTTTGTACTTTTGGAAGTAACCACTGTTACCATGAGAACATGTCTGTCTCTTCTTTCAATGTCACTTTCCTCCCTTCCCTTCCTCACTTTCCCCAAGAGAGGACACAAGCATAAGAAAAGACAAATGAACACACCCCAGATGTTCAAGAGGGGAATGAGTTTGGGCATGAACCACTGTACCTGTACCTGTTTCACTTTTTCATGATTTACATGCAGGACAATGTAGCAGCAGCCTGAGGTGTGATGTAGTGTTCTGGTAGGACCAAGTCAAGATTCGCATTAGAGAAAATACGTGTTAAATGTTAAAAGACTGACTTCTTCATGTTGTGCTGTTTGTCCTCCTGCAGACTCACTTTTCATTCATGCGCTACATCAGTGTCTGCTGTGTGGTCGGCATCATCGCTGGCTTCTGTATCGGTCCAGGCAAGTTGCTCTACAACAAAACCCCCCATATTTGCTCACTCATATTTGTTTTGATGATGTAGACCTAATTTCAAGCTGTGCAGCTCTCAGACATATTTGATGGTGGAACCTCCTGCATTTTTATGCACTGCTAATATAATCCAATGCTATAAACAGGACACCATTAAATTAACCGTTTTTGACATATTTAAATGTCTTATTTTGTCCAAAACCCAAAGATATTCCGTTTTCATAGTACACATACACATAGCACTACAAAAAAGCACGATATTCATTCCTTATTTCAGTCTGACACACTTTCGCCAAGAAATTGACCGTTTATAATAAATGTATACATTTAGATTTAGATTCTTTGAAGGAGCATCAGTGCTGGGATTCTGCTGAGAGCTAACCCCCCAAAACAAAAGTATTGTTCCCTGAGTATTAGCAGGTAGAGCTCCCAAAACAACAGAGCCACTGTGATCCGCCATCCTGAATCTATGCAACATGCATGTTGCAAGTTCCTTTGATCGTTAACAAAGCCCTTCTCATCTGAGATGAGCTCAGACAACATCCTGGCTAGCCAGATAAACATGCAGCAGGGTTGTATCCTGATACAAGGTAAATATTCTAAACAATAATGTACCTACCTGTGAAACAAGTTCATGTTGCAGTTCCCCTTGAAAGCTAAATACTTAGCCAGGCCACCTCTCATATCTTAAAGCTAACCAAATTATCAATGAGCAGATGTTCAGAGATAGATTATATTATGACATGAACAACCCCCCAAAACAACTTAAAATCACAGTGAAAATAGCAAAAATCATCAAAACACCAGAATAATCTTCTGAATAGACCCCTGACAGAGTGGGTGCTGGCTTCTGCAGGATTGAGACTGACGGCTCTTTGGCAACCAGCTGACCACCAAGCCTGGTACAAAAAACACCAACAACTGTGCTGGTTATTTTTTTTCAAAACTCACTCTTTTAACTTATATTAAGGCTTTTAAGTTCGCCACCAGGGCTCCACCTCTTTGTCCATTTTTTTAGCTGGGAGTTAGGCAAGTCAGGAGCTGCCTAAGATGTCGACAGCCAGAGCTGCCACACTGAGCTTCACAATCGCTCTTCAGAAACCTATGGGGGGCATAACGGAGACTACCTTCATTGTTTATACAGTTTATGGAAATGAACTGCCATTATTTTCCATCAAGTAGCATTGTCCAAAATGAGAAGCACAGCATACCACAAGAGGGTAGTGATGAAATATAGTTACTTTATTCTGCATTTTATGTTTGACTTCTCCACTTTCCAGATGATTAACAGTACTACTGGCTTGGTTACTCTACAGAGGTTCTGGTTGCTTTGGGTTATTCCATGGCTCCCTCTGGAGGTCATACCTAAAATTCTTTAGGGGTCTCTAATTTGAAGAAAGTAAAAAATGTGATGCAACTTCTAGAGCAATAATTTATAGCCATAGGAACTATCTAGTTAATCTAAACTGTAACTGTGTATTTATGCATGTTGTGATGAAACCATATTATATGGCCCCTTATTAGAAAGACAAGTAATGCTGTTCTAATGATAGAATATAATAATAAATATTAGTAATACGCTTTCTCTTATATATGGATCTTCTTTCCACATGCTGGCCTGGCCTTCAATCTCTAATTAGCCTTTCATACGTTTTCTTGGTGTCACAGATGATAACCAAATCATGAACATAAATAATATTTAATATTTTCCATACACAGCCACTCATCAGTAGAAATGTTGCAGGCTTGCCCAGACATATCCTGTTAGTAGACTCATCTGCACTTCCTTTTCTTAAAAAAAAAAAAAAAAAACTGTTAAAAAATGTAGTGCTTTCATTAAAGTATGAAAAGTGCTCTATTACCTCCACCTCATGAACTAAAGTGACAAGATAATGTTTCATTAAGATACGACAATATATATGATGTGACAGCAGACACGGTTATGTTTTGGTGGACTATGACTGGAAGAATTATTATACATAAATAAATATAATAATATAAAGACAAATATGAACAATGGTTAATACTACTCAGCATGTATAACTCTGTTTGGGATTGGAGACTACAATTGTTTTACAGAAAGCCTGCAATCCTGAGGTGTTGAGTTTGAAAGATATAGGTGTAATAAAAGGTACTGTCAAGTTGCATAGTGGGAAATTTTTTGGAGCTGCACCAAATTCAGTGCACTAAAGTTTAGGCTATCGCTGCCTCTGCTGAACACATTTAGACCATTCTTCTTTTTAACCTGTCTCTTATGAGCAGCCCAACCTAATGGAAGTGTAATACTAAATCGCTAGTACGCCCGTTTCAATGAATGAAGCACAACATTCAACAGAAGATTTGTACCTTTTTTTTTTTTAAATATCTTTTGCTTTACTCCATTTCCAGCGGGTATTCCCTTTCTGATCACGGCAGAGCTGTTTAAACAGTCCCACCGCCCAGCGGCCTACATTGTAGGAGGATCACTCAACTGGCTGTCCAACTTCACTGTGGGCTTTGTCTTCCCCTTCTTGCAGGTGAAAGTTATATGCTGTGCTGTGCTGTGCTGTGCTGTGCTGTGCTGTGCTGTGCGGCACATGCTTTTCTCTGTTCTAAATGTTATTACCACTAGGGGTGCTCTGGCATATTAAAGATCATAAATTGAATGAGGTCATAACTGGTTAATCTAATCTAATCACTGACACCCTGCTTGGTATGGTTCCAATCCCAATTCTTGTTCTCCCCTGCATGACTCTCTCTGTGTGATAACAGAGCGCCATGACAATTCACTGTGTCATGTCTGACACAAGTGCAGTCTGATGTGAGTCCTAGAGAACAAACATGGTGTAAGCCAATTCTCAAAACATCCGTCTCCGTCTAACCTTTCTATCCTCATCTCTCCATCCTTCTAATGATCCTCCTTCCGTCTGCCACATCCAACAACCAGATGTCAGCGGGGTCTTACTGCTACTTGGTGTTTGCCGCCATTTGTGTGTCCGTGGCCATCTATGTCTACATTGTAATCCCAGAAACCAAAAACAAGACTTTCATGGAGATCAGCCGGATGTTCTCTAAGAAGGAGGCAGTTCTAGAGACCCAAGGCCTGATCCACGTGGACCAGCTGAAGTTGAAGAAGATGAACGGCTACGGTGGTGTGGAACATGCTTCACTGGAGTTCGACAGCTCTTCTTCTGCACCTTAACTGATCAGGTTGTCACTGGGTCTAGAAAACCATTTATTAATTCCTGTTCTCCGTTCTACTGTTTTGAAATGTACACATAAACCAAACACCACCTCACCTGGACTGAGTGAATTTAGACTCTTCACTTGGATCACACGCCAAACATTGATGAATATACTGTACAGTTCTAGTATCTGCAACTTCTTATCAATTTCATGTAACAGACTGCTTGAGTCATTAAAGTAAAAATCCCGTTAATGTAAAGTTGGGTCTAATTTTTAGGTTTGGATGTTCTTCCTATCTCTGCTAATAACATTGTATTCACCGAGATAATAAGTGAAATCAGGGTACTGTGTGACAGACAATAAGAAGTACGAGCAGTCAGACTTTGACCCACTGTACTTATTGTAGCTTAGGACGCAGTTTTCCTGTGCAAAGAGGGATTATTAGCAACACTTCAGGTGCTGTCACTTTTACTTTGATGTCCAAATCTGGACATCAAATTAAAAGTTGGTTTGTTTGTGCAACTTCATTAGATAGATAGATACATAGATAGATAGATAGATTACTTGAGGTGAGTGCAAAAATAAGTATGGAAGCCTGTATGGCACTATATTAAAATTTTTATGTAAACTTGTGAAATTTAGCATTTATATTTTCACATACTGGCATGGATGTTCTATTACAATATTCAAATGAAAATGGAAAAGCTGTCTGACATTTAATTTTTGTTAAGTTGTACACCAATTTACAGTGGACAGTATTAAAATGTTAATACAAATTTTCAAATGTAAATGCAATTTAAACAATGTAGCCCAATTTTCCATTTGTGCAAGCATTATTTAAACCTGCAGTGCGGAAATGTTGTTCTGTCAACATGTTCTTAAGATATACTGACACTGCCATTCTAAGTGGCATAAAACACAGGACACCAGATTTAACCTGGTGGTGATAGGCTTAATCTTCAGTGCGTGAGCTAATTTGGCAAGGGCTTGGATATCAATCTTGCACTCTCTAGCTTTAGATCACAGCAATCGACATTTTGTTTTTATAAAGACTGAACCTGCTGTACCATATCCAAATGTTAATTCAAATTTGAAAATTAGAATGCATTATAAACAATGCAACCTGATTTTTTTAATTTATGCAAGCAACGTTTAAGTCAAAATAAAAATTAAAATGCAATTTTCTAACAATTTGAAAATGAAAATGAAAATGAAAACGTCATTTGACATTTAATTAATTTATTAATTTAATAAAGACTTAACCAGCTCTACAGTAAAAAACATTCAAATGCATTAAGCAAAACAGTTTGTATCAGGAGAAACTTCAGAGACAAGATCTGAAGTAAAAAGCAAATTGGATTACTACATTTACTCAAATAATACATACATATGTGGAAAATTATTATTCTATTGTAGAATTACATTTTACACAGTTTACCATATAATTTAATATAGTCCCATACAGACTTCCGAACCCGAGTTTTAAATCATAAATCAAACCAAAACAAGCTTTCCATGCAAAGGAAAGTATTTTAAAGGAAAACTATGGTTTCTTATAACTTGGCTTTTAGTTTTTCTAGGCCATCATTTTACATTGCACTCACCAAAGTGATTGCACAGATTTCAAAACTCAACTCGAAGACATCACAAAAAACTGCGTAAACAGGAAAGAAAATAGCTAGCTAACGAACTTACTATATTCATGAAAAATAGCAACAGAAAATGGCCCATTGACGACAGGTGTGGATAAAATCAATTGCAGGGTAGTAATTATACTATCCAAAAAGGCTTACCAGATAGTCAGAAATACAAAAATTAAATCCTATAAACTTTGGTTTCATTCAAGGACACCATTAAATTCAGGGTTTTGAACAGTAGCCTTTCAATACCAGACACTCAACAATGGGTTAGCATTATTAGGGTGTCTATTATGGCATGAATGCTTGCTTTATTTAAGCTGAATGCAGGATATAGATATATGTTAGGATATAGACTTTAGGGTAGAGTCAACAAAATTATCAGAGTTTGTGGTTAGACACAGCAGCATGTGAGAAATAATTGGGGTGTGTGTATAGTATGCATGTGTAACATAAATTAACCCTTTAAAGATAAATTTCTTAATCTTTTGTAAATTGCAGTAAAGATAAACTGTGAAATCCCAAAGTTTATGCATGTTTTGACTATGTCATCTTTTTGTTGTAAAGTTATATTAATATTGTTTCACTAAAATCCCTCTACCAGCTCTGAATACACAGTCATTTTACAGACTCTATCAGAGTACTGTGTACTAACAGAGCTGTACAGTGAGGTGTGCTAAAATGTGTTTTATACAAACAGCAATACAGTTTGTTTGAATAGATGGAAATATGTATTTGCCCTTTTGAATTGTTGAAAGATAACTACATAAATGAAATGGTATTGTAATACTGTGTCTTTGTGTGTTTTAATACCTGTTTACCATCTCTCCAGTCACAATCTATGTCAGTGTCATTTCAGCTCTGGTTAACAGAGAACAGTAATGAGAAAACCTTAAAGTGGACGAAGAAATATATTAGAAAATTAAATGTTTACTCCTCAGAGGAATGATGGACAATCATTTTCATGGGATTTTAGTTAACTATTGCTTGACTCACGTCAGATCTATGACAGCTTGAAGTCTGTTACTTCTTTTAAGTTTTAAATGATAAATGGACTGTATTTATATAGCGCCTTTCTAGTCTTCCAACCACTCAAAGCAATTTACGTTACATGTCACATTCAAGTGCCAACTGCTCTTTAGAAACAGAAATTTATCATTCACACACACATCGATGGCACAGCCATGAGAAGCGATTTGGGATTCAGTATCTTGCCCAAGGAGGCAGACTGGAGGAGGAACCCACACAAGCAACCCACTGTACCTCCTAAGCCTGTGGTTTAAAAAATCAGCTCACCTGAGGTTTATTCTAATATGCACAATTTCATCACACACACACACACCCACCATGCTGTCCCTTACTGGTCAACACCAAACCTAAATCACTTCTGACCCTTAGTGGTCAAAAAGGGAAGTATCCTACTAGTGCAGTCTTTTCACTCACACATACAGTATGTGGCTTTATCTCAGATGCTTTGTTGTTTATTTTGTTTTTTCTACCTGAAAAAGAAGTCAGATCAGCCCTACAGCTGTAATCAGATAAAAGTGATAAACAAATACACAGTCAGGGGCTGAACAGTAATGCAATTAATGAAGTCATTAAATTGTGTTACATAGAAGCATGTAAGCCTAGTGTACAGAATCTTTCATGTGTTGTCATTCATGAATTGGTATTATTGGTATTGTATTTAATATTTATGTCAACAATATTATTCTCATGATGTGTTACCTCATCAAGAAGGATGTACAGTGTTTCCTGTTTGTTAAGTGACAACCTGTGGAGGTTCAGTCAAAACTGTGGGTGGGAATAATAATATTCGGGCTGAATCCTGTTTGTCATAAACTTCAGCTTTCTGCCCCTTGACTATTGGCGGTACAAAACCAGCTTGTAGGTGAATTACTGCCAACAACTGGATGGATGTGACGAATTATGTGTGTTTACATTTTACTAATGTGGGACACAGCTATACCTGGTCGCTTGTGAACGCACCCTTCAGTGCTCAAGATGCGGATGCTATCTTCATATGATTTGCCTAATGACGCTAAAATCTGCATGTGATTCATAGCATTGCATTTCATCTATTATGCCACCATGCCACCTCACACATCACAGCTTTGTAATTAATGGCAGTGCCTGCGTCCCTAATAAGCATTCTGATGGTCTTTATTGCGTTCCCCTCTGGTGATACAAGCCTGTGTGTGTGTGTGTGTGTGTCAGTGTCCCTTGCCAAGTGGCTGTCACTGGTGCTGACGGCCATACAGCAGGGAGGCCCAGGACAGTGATAAATGTCTGTTATCATGAAACAAGGCTGGTGACAGATAGAGTTGCAACAACGTCAATGAGTAATAAAACTAGATGGATGATCCAGCAGCAACAGCTCCACTACAGCCACTCACAGCCACTGTAATTAAACCAGAGAGAAAGAATGGAGGGGGAAAAGAAAGGGCTACAACAAAACAAATCAGACTGAGAAACAAAAATATCACAAATAACAATTTTACACTGTGTCAAGCATAAATGCATGTCCGAAAATGTTTAAAAGGACAAATACACATGAAGAATATGATGGCGATCATGCAGCTGTGTTGCTCCATCTCATGGGGGAATATTTAGATTTGCAGCATCACCAACTGTCTAACAGCCACAGACAATCTGGGCATCAACATGAGAGGGTAGATTCCATCCTGCAGAGGCTCAGAGAGTGGTATACAGCAGACGTCCTGCAGGAGGAGCCCGAGACAGCTGATTTCATCGCCTGTTGATAACTGTACAATTTATGGGCACATGCACTAAGACCATCACTCAAGTCACTGTTTAAAACACATGCAGCCTTTTGACAGAGTTGTATATGACAGAAAGTTTACCTTTTGCAAGCAGAAACACTGAGTGCCTACCTATAATCATTTGCAATCTTACTGTTGAGAAAAAGATCAGTTTCCTTATTCACACTACGGATGGAGCCAAAATGTCACTTTACTCTGAAGACTGGTCTAAAGCTCCATGTTCATTGGGAATCACCAACTTAGTGCAGATGGACAGCCAGAACACAGAAAAAGGGGAGCTGGCTTCCCCCTAGTGCTTTCTATGATCACTAAGATTGTTTTAATGCAAATAAACTCACCATTCAGTTACATTTTTTTCTGTTTCTGCACAATATCATTTTACAATAATATTTTTATTGTGGCTAGTAAACAATAGCTGTTGACCAGGGGGGCAGTCATTCCTTTGCTGCTGACATGAGATGTTAATCAAATCATTGTTTTATGATTGTAAAGTTGCCTGACAAAATAAACAAAGCAACCTGATAAACAGATAAAGTTGGAGTACACAGCAAGAAGTTGTCATCACTTTATTACCACACAGCCCTGACCGCGCCTGAGTAGGTGCACCTTGTTCCAAAAGCCCAGTTTTCTTTGTATTAAAAGCAAGGTTGGTGTTGAAACATCGACTCACGCTGGATCGTGTTTTTGGCTCAAAATGGAGAGAAAATGATGCAGTTTGAAAGTTGTGATTTAGCTGGCTGAAATGTAGTCTGAACTGTGACCTGCTCACTCAGAGTTAAAGGGAAAATGCATCGTCCAGATGTGATGCATTGATTGCACTGAAAGCTGCCTGTGTGGAGTTTCTACAACTGACAGTTGGTATGTGGTGAGCACAGACTCCCTTTCATCTCTGAAACAAGGACATCTCTCTTCTGTTTTCTAGATTTCTGCTTTTACTCTCAAACAATCTTGTTTGGCTCATATATGAATCACTCCTCACATTTCATTTAAGTTTTGCAGTTCCTCAATACCTGTCTCTTTTTCTCTGTCCTCCATCTGTCTCTCCATCTGTCTCTCCTCCCCTCTGTCCTCTGTCTCTTCGAGCCATTGATGGTGGGTGTGTAAATGCTCTGGCAGATAGCTGATGAATGTGGCACTTCTCTGCTACAGGCTGTAAGTGTTTTGTGACAGAGTGTCTGACGACTGGGCCGGCCTTTTCTTTATGCTTTAGCACCGTGCTGCCACACAGACAGCTCTGTGGCCATGCATACGTTTCCCACCTCCCTCCAACGTACAGACTGGGGGATCCTCTCATCCATTCAGGGAAGCAACACTCCGCTTATAGATGTCAGTTCAACTTCTATTTTCTATTCTATTATTTTATGCCTAAAAGAGTTTCCAAAGTCTAACGTTTTAAAGTATTTCAATGTATTACTTGTTTCCTCAGCCCAAATCTTCCATACAGCCGTGCAGCCTCTACCACTTTCTCTTGCCTCATCTTCAGTGCATGGGGGAACTCCACCTTGAATGAAAATACAAGGTGGTTTGATTTAACCCATTTTGGGAAATGTTGCCTTTCAGCTGTCATGTACAATCCTGTTTTCCTATAACATAATTACTGCACCAACAATATCTTAAAACTGTTATATTTTTATTATTTTCTACATCAATATATACATATTCATCTATACTTATTTCTGTAATGTAATAGTGTTTTTTCAAATAGTGTCAACTTTTCCCAGTTCTGTGCTTTTTCTTGTGAAATGCTGTACACTTAGACTTCTTCAGGCCTCTAAAAATGAATGGAATGAAGCAAGCTGATAAGTGAAGCTCAATCTGGTTGAGCTGCTCATATTGAGGGTTCACAAGTAGGCATGGGGTCACATGCCAAAAAAGGGGCCCCCAAGAGAGCATCCACATTAAGCCAGTTACATTTGTATATGCCTCTTTTTCAGTTTAACCTCTCCATCCAAAACTAAACTCAAGGTGTATTTTTCACCCCCCAATCAGAGCTTTACCAAATTGGCCTTGAGAGTGTATGAATCTTAAAAATCCAGCTTGGTGTTTCAGTGTGTGTGGGGCAAATACAACTTTTACTAAACGATGGCGTAAGCTGCTCAGTGAGGGCCCTCTATCTTTACCTGTGATTCTTTATTTAAAATGCCAATACAGCTGAATACACAGCAGAGCTGCTGTCATTAACCAACTCAATGCATCTATGCATGCAGACGTGGTCAAGACAATTTGCTGAAGTTCAAACTGAGCATCAGAATGAGGACGAAAGGATTTAAGTGACTTTGAATGTAGCATGGTGGGCTGCTGTGAGTATTTCAGAAACTGCTGATATACTGGGATTTTCACGACAAACCATCTCTAGGGTTTACAGAGAAGGGTCCGTAAAAAATAGAAAATATCCAGTGAGCAGCAGTTGTGTGGACGAAAATGCCTTGTTGATGTCAACTGAGGAAACTGAGGCTACAGTTCACACAGGCTCACCAAAATTGGACAATAGAAGATTGGAAAAATGTTGCCTGGTCTGATGAGTCTCGATTTCAGGTGCTGCATTCAGATGGTAGGGTCAAAATTTGACATAAACAACATGAAAGCATGGATCTGCCCTGCCTTGTATCAACTTTGAGCATTATTTAAACGCAACAGCCTCCCTGAGTATTGTCGCTGACTATGTCCATCCCTTTATGACCACAGTTTACCCCTCTTCTGATGGCTACTTCCAGCAGGGTAATGATCTCAATCCAATAAAGCACCTCTGTTGATGTGTTGGAACAGGAGATTCTCATCATGGATGTGCAGCCGACAAATCTGCAGCAACTGCGTGATGCTATCATGTCAATATGGACCAAAGTCTCTGACGAATGTTTCCAACACCTTGTTGAAAGTATGCTAATATAACAAGGTGTATTTTGTATTTTGAGTTGGATGGCAGATTAGTTTATTTCCTGAAGCCCTGAAAGGTGGGAGGGGTTCCTTTAATACATTAAGCACAAACTCTCTCTAATTTGTCTGCTG